ACTTGGTGTAGTAGTATTGAGGTTAATCTGTGATGTAGTACATGTCAGTAGTTTGGTCCTACTTATTTCTGAAAGAATTATTATTCCAGTGTATGGATAAACCACATTTTCCTTTTCTTTTGCCAGTTGATGGACATTTAAGTAGTTATGTACAGGTTTTTTTACTGCTGCTAAAAATATGTTTTTAAATAATTAAAACTTCCCTTGATATAAATGGGTGCATGAAAAAATGAGCTCTAAGAAGTCACTACTGAAGTGACTGGAAATGCTTCTGGAAGTAGTGATAGAGCAAAGAAAGAAATGAGTTGTGGTTTGAAGTACTTAAAGGGACTGTGGAAAATAAAACTTTTTGATTCTCTTAATTTTAATGCACTTTATGGATACTTCTGATGGGAAATTGATCAGAACTTAATCATACTCATACGTTCCTTCTGAGCATGTGGCTCTGTTTCTAGGGTTAGTGGAGAACGTGATGCTTACATTGTTAGGTATAGATTGAGAATCTTTTTCTAATGTAAATTGATAAGATTATATAAGAAATGGCTGGCAGATGTTTCATAGTATGATAGAATATCAATGTTTACATGGTTTTCAGAGTCCTAAAGAAATCTCAGTTTTAACCCTTTATCTATGTATGATCAGACTATATATAACTGATTCTTTTCATCCAAACTTTGGGGAAACATTATAAATAAGAACGTTATTTAATATGATTAATAATTAAGCCATTTAAATCTGATATTTTATATCGGTTTCTATCATTACTGAACAAAAGTGGGGTTAGGCAGCCTGTCGTCACTGACAGGCAAATTCTGAAAACAGAGTTTGGCGGGGAAAGAAAGAGGTCTTTATTAAAAGGTTGCAGTTTGGGAGGATTGAGGACTCCCCAGCTCCAGGTTCATCTCTTCTGGAAAACTCAGGCAAAGCCCATTTGTTCCCAAAAAGACTAAAACCAAAAACCATGCCCCCAAATCCCACTTCATCCTTATCTGTCTGTCTGTCTTTAGAGCCTGCAGCTGTTAGCGGATGGCTTTCTGGGTTCAGGCTCTTTCCTGGGGTCTGCTTCCATCACTGCTTCCAGGACCTAAGTGATCCCATAAATGCTCGGGCCTGTACCTCCACACTGCTAGGGCGCAGAGGAAGAGGAATACGTGTCTTTCTGTTTAAACATACTCGCCCAAACTTCCACATTCTCAGAAAGGTACCCCCCACCCTGCCCACCCCAGCCAATCCCATCCTTTTCACTGGTTAGAGTGACAGGTCAGCACCTCCCCCTGCAGCCAATGTTGACCTTTATGGAACCTGTGTGGCTACATGTCTGGTTCCACCTTCAGTTCAGGACCAGAAGAAGGTAGGAGGGCTTTTCCCTTTGCCAGTTGCTCGCCCTAGTTTCCTGTGGACAGCACAATGACTTCCTCCAGTGCTGCACTAGCAGCTAGGCTTCACCTGCGCTACCTTGGGCACTCCCTGCAGCCTTTCCCACACTTGGGGCACCATGCCTGTATCCATATGACTAGTTAGGAATTCAAATGACAGAGGTGTCTATCTATTTAGGGAGAGGAAGGAATAAAGCCCGGATGAATTTTTTTTTTTTGCCTCAGAGAATATTTCTGGCAGATATTTGCTAGCATTTATTAGAATTAGAGATTTTTACCTGGAGACAAAATTTTAAGTTATTTGTACCTAGTTAAATTTTTTTACAATAATTTATTTTACTTGTTTCTTATTACTTATGCAAAAGAGGAAAATCAGACATTAAAGAAATTTGGGCAGTTAAAGGTTGGTCTTTGTCTTTCATTGTTGTTTTTGTTTATAATTAATATCTTTTTTTTTTGCTTTTGGGTTGCCCTTTATACTAGTTGAACAAAGGTTTTGAAGTTAAGTGTCATCCAGTTTTGTGACTGTTTTTAGATAATTTTAGATTCAGGGGTAAAGTTAGGATTTAGGATGTTAGAATCAGTATTTTTTCCCCTACTATCTGAGTTTTATTTAGCTTCAGTTCTCTATTTTTTGACTACAGAGTACAATAAACTGAATATTATAAACATAAAAATGAAAGAATTTAGTGTATCTTTTGGTTTGCTTATAGAATATTTCTGAATTGTGGAGTCACTAATTTTAAGGCTTAATAATTCAAATTGAGGAATGACCATCAAAAGATTGTGTATGATTTCAGAATTTCTGTGGTGAGCCTAATAAAGAGTACCTCCTTTTCATCTTTGGTTCTGGATCAGTTGAAAAATGAGTGGCAGATGTGGGTGAAAATATCAACTTTACTGTTGATAAAAATTAATTTGAAAGAAGTAGATTGGTAGGAAAGCCAAATGGATTGATTAACCAAACTACAAACCAGGCAGACTTGTACATTCATGGCAGTGCCAATCCAGTGAGAAGGCTGAGCTACTTCCTTCCTGAATCCCTATGTAGAGCCTCTCAAAAAAGAAGAGGGAAGATGAGCCCAATACATAGAGTATATTCTTTCCAATCAGTCCATAAGTGGGTATGTTAGTGTCCTGAGGCTGCTGTAGCAAATTACTACAGACTTTGTGGTATAAAAATAACAAATTTATTCTTTCACCATTCTTTAGGCCAGAAATCCAAAATCAAGGTATCATCAGGGTTGGTTCCCTTTGGAGTCTTTGAGGAAGAATCTGTTTCATGCTTTTCTCCCAGCTTCTGGTAGCTATGGGTAATCCTTGTTGCTTTTTGGCCTGTAGATGTGTAATGCCAACTTCTATGTCGATCTTCATATGGCCTTTATTCCCTGTGTCTTCATGTTTATTTTTCCCTTTCTTTTCTTATAATGTCAAGTCACCGTTGGATTTTAGACCCACCCCAATCCAGGTTCATTTCTTCTCTGGACACTGATCTTAACTATGTATGCAAAGTCCCTTTTTCCGAGTAAGGGTATGTTTACAGTTCCATGTAAATGTATCTTTTGAAGAGACCACGATTTAATTCACTAAAAGGAATGGAGAGGCCAGGAGTTGGAGTAAATAAGTAAACTTGCTGTTTGCTAGGAAATATCCAGAGTTGGGGGCAGGTGTTCCTCCCTGGCATTCCCCAGCTTTTTGTTCCTACGGTCAACCAGAGTAGGAGATCAGCAAAAATGGGCCCTTCCTACCCTGTATTTGTGTTATTGGCATGATCTTTGATAGAATCTTTTAAAGCCACTTGTACATTTGGTGAGTATTAATGGTTAAAACTAGGTAAAATATATATCTACTTAACTGTGCACAGATAAAAGGCAGTTTATTACAATACATTGAAAGCAAACAACCAGTGAAGGGGCCATGTCAAATACCCTTGTGATGTGCAACTTCCAAAATTCCACAAAGATGTCCTGTGAGCTGTATATCACATGGACTGAATGAGGGTTTCTTTGTTGCTCTGGATATGAAATACTATGAAAGTTTAATTTCTTTTTTACTAATAATTAAATAGAAACAGGTATTTCCCTTCTTCACTTAAATGAATGTGTACTTCCTAGGATGCATGAGTCGTATGTATTTTGGAACATGTAGGTCTAGACCATTATTGATTATCTAACAGAACTTTTTGCAGTGATTTAGACAGTCTCTACTGGTTTTGTGCAGGTATAGAACACTCGAATGTGGTTAATGAGACTGAAGAATTGAGTTTTTAATTTTATTTTTTTAATAGACACGTGCTTGGTGGACTGTATTAGGCAGCACAGACTAGATAGATATTTGTCATTGCCTAGCCAGAGGTGGCCAACCTTTTGGCATCTCTGAGCCACACTGGAAGAAGAGTTGTCTTGGGCCACACATTAAATACCTTGTGACGTGTGATCACACACAAAAAAATCTCATACTGTTTTTAAGTAAATCTATGGTTTTGTGTTGGGCTGCATTCACAGCCGTCCTGGGCTGCAGGTGGGACACCTCTAGGCTATAAATATTGGGAGTAGTAAAATAAAGGGAATGTCTTTAATTTAGTGACATTAACAAAACGAAAAGTTCATCCTGAATTTGCAACTTATCTACACTTATTGAGGGTTTTGTTAGAACTTGGAATTTCTCACATAAACATATTCATGCTTACGTGAGAAATTAACTGTAAATGCCAATCATTTCACATTTCTCTTTGTTGAAAATTTAAAACTAATACACACAGAAAGTTTTTATTTAAAAGACTATAACAGAAAGTATTTTTTCACTGTAGATATACTATTTAAAGGTATAATATTTAATAATATGAAAGTATCACTTTATGATAAATTTATTTTGCAAACATAAACAGAGTTTGTTGTTATTTCCCAATCATGCCAACAATTGTTTCATAATTGTTTCATAATGTGTTTAACCTAATAGCCAGTTCATAAGTTGTATTTTTGTCTTTGATTGGATTGTGGCCAGAGAGAACATTTTTTTCTCATTATCATGCCTGTAATATAGTATTAGATTTAAACTCATTTAAAAAGGAAGTGTGAAAATAAATATAGTTTATATTTCTTAAACTTTCTATAGTTTAAATTTTGGAGTATTGTAATCTTCATTTATGCCAGGAGAGGGTGTACTTGAAATTTGAGTTTTTGAGCAGAAAGCATTCCTTTCAACGACTGTTGTAAAGTTGATATTTCTTAAAAACATTACAAACTCTTTAATTCCAGAATGTCCCTTAATGTACATGGGAGGAGAAGGGAGATCTCTGTGAATGATTTAGAGCACATAAGACTAAAAACATCTATTAATAAATTTTTCAACCAGAAATATAATTTTGTTTTCCTCAAGTTTTCACATCGCTTTCTGGAAATGAATTCAGAATTTTTTTTAATATTCTCTAGGAGACGTTTTTGAAGTTTTATCTTTAAATACAAAACACAACCCCTGGTATATGTAATATCATTTCAATTTTGACCTTATTTAATCAAAATTATCATTATAAATCATAATGCATGACTGTTAAAGAAAAGAGATCCTAAATGAAAACAAATCTGTGGCTAGAAAGTGATCATTTATTTCTTTGTGTTTTGACAGCTTGAAGGTCCGTGCGTTTTGCAAATTCAAAAAATTCGCAATGTTGCTGCACCAAAGGATAACGAGGAATCTCAGGCTGCACCGAGAATGCTGCGTTTGCAGATGACTGATGGTCACATAAGCTGCACAGCAATAGAATATAGTTATATGTCAAAAATAAGGTGATTGGCACTTTATTTTGTATATTTGTTACAGTGTTTTACATGCTGTTCAAAATGGATTTTATTTTAGGAACTTTGAAAAGAAGGAATGAACTCTTAAGTGCATGTTACAGTTTTTCAGAAAAAATTAAAGTTTGTCTTTCTATTTCATATGTACAGAAAAATAATTAAGAAAGGTGTTAGTTACTCCTTGCTTCAATGTTAATTATAAAAACAGAAATTTAAGGTGTTCTTGCATGAAAAATAATCGTTTTGTTTTCAGTAAGTTTGAGGTCATTCAAAAATTTCCTAGTACAAAAAGAATTTCTTTAACTACATTACAGTTTAGTTCCTGGACAATGAGCTGTGTCTATCACCAACTATTTAGTGTAATAGAAAAGTTCATAGGCTAATGAGTTTTCTGAAGAAATGACTGACAGTAGGGAGGTTTGTGTGCCACCCTACTGAAACTCTACAATGGGAGAATTTTCCAAATCCTTCTTCTGGCTATTTTCACGAGAGGCTTTTAGAGTCAGGCCTGTTGGAATGGAGACAGGCAGTGGGGGGTGGGGTGGGGGTAGGGGTGGGAGAGTCTCTTTTATCCTCAATGTGCCCATTAGATCAATTGAGTTCTATTTTCTGATGTGGAAATTTTCATTAGACATTTGTAAACCCCCCTTTTTGTCTTCTTAGTAATTTTATATGTTTATGTTTTCTATTTTGAGCTTTTCCATTTAATGTAAATTTTAAGACTGTATTCTTCTCCTGAGTAAGCATTTGATAAATATGTAGCATCTATTGTGTTCCAGTTCCTTATCTGGAGCTGGGGGTACACAGGTAAACAAGGTTTAGATTTTGCCGCCAGATAGCCCACATGCTAATGAGAAAGGCACATGGGTTTATAAATTATAATAAACATATAACTGAAAGGATTAGGAGCCTAGAAAATTTACTTAGGGGACCCAGGGTTGGGACTTAAAATGTGAATAGATGCTTTGACAGAGATGAGAGGGAAATAGCACATGCAAAGACATACTGTTCTGACAAGAGGTGATGACAAGATTCCTCTGGAGGAGCTTGGGTGGTAGGTATATGGGAGGAAGTGTGGAAGGGTCAGACCTTGAATATACTGTGCTGAGGGATTCCCCTTCTTTTTCTTTCCTTCAGCCAGCATCTGCCTCCTTCCTTAGAAGATACGTGTTTGTCTAAAATGTTGATTTTCATGCACAAAGGGGGGTTATTGAATTTGTGATTATGTTGTCTGCTTTTTGAAGAGTAGGAGGATTCTTGCTTTTGTGAGAAATACAGCCTTTCCTCTGACAAATTCAGTGAGATGTAAAGGGAGTTCACAGATGACTCAGAAGGTAGACTGGCCACATAATGGCTCATTCTCTGTTTTTATGGCTGAGTATTTCTCTGAGGTAAATGAAAACAAGATTAGCCCAGAGAGGAGGGTCTCTTATGCTTCCCACTGCCTTCTTTCTTTGAATTCATTGCAGTTCGAGAATTGAAAAAAATCATTGCTACTTGCTCATTCACTCATTGAAATAACATGTCTACTTTGTTGTAGAAACATCAGCTTTCGGAACTGTTCTAACATGTGAATGATTTGGGAGACTATTTTCAAAATACAGTTGGTTAGTAGTTATCTGAGAAGGAAGGTAGAACTCACTAGGGAGGATAAACAAGGAGCTGGTACGGAATGCGTTGCCTACAGTGGGCATTGCATTTCTCTGGGGTGCTTCTTTCCACTCTTTCATCCTATGTCTTGCCTCACTTCTCCCTATTTTCTTGTTTTTCTGTTTTGCTTAAAACAGCAATACAGAGAGAGTAAAGGTACGTTTGGGTGCCAATAAAAGTAGTAGTTATTTTTTTATCTTTTTAAAAAATATGAACAGTAAAAAGACAGCAAACTCACAGTTATTAACAACCACACCTAAAAAAAGCAAACTAAGCAAACAACTAGAACAAGAACAGAAATGGAGATCCCATGGAGGGTTAGCAACAGGGGAGTGGGAGGAGGAGACGGGGGAAAAGGTACAGAGAATAAGTAGCATAGATGGTAGGTAGAAAATAGACAGGGGGAGGGCAAGAACAGTCTTGGAAATGTGGAAGCTAAAGAACTTGTAACACATGGACATGAACTAAAGCGGGGGAATGTGGGTGGGAGAGGGTGTGCAGGGTGGAGGGGAATGAAGGGGGAGAAATGGGGCAACTGGAATAGCATAATCAATAAAATATATTTTAAAAATAGTAATTAAACCAAAATATGTTCTCTGAATTAGAGTTAGTTATGGCCCTGAAAGTGATGCAGTAAACATTATTTAAAAATTTTAGTACCTACTTACTCTTTTGTGGGAGTAGGACTATAATCTGTTGAGTGCAAGTTTTTGTCAGTTATTATATGAAACTGACAGTTATTATAATGAAATTGTGATAACAAACTCAGGTCCAGCTAGCTGCCTGCACTTTGAAAGCCAATACTCTGGAGAAGTGTGATGATGTAAGAAAAGGTGGTTTATTCAAGTGCGGCAGCCCGAGCAGGTGGCAGGCTCCTGTCCCAAAGACCACCTCAGCATCTCAGTGCAGGTAGAGGATTTTATTAGGAGGGAGAGAGAAGGCAGAACAAGGAGATTGGGGGAGGGGGTTGAAATTTTTCTACATCTAAATCAATACAGTCTGTTCTGATGATTATCTTGACTCTGGTCAAGAAAAGGTATGGGGTTGTTGTTGTTGAATGGCTGAGAGTCAGCAAGTCTCCTGGAGCTATAACATCCAGTTGCTGGTATCAGCTCCCTTTGGTTCCTGGAACTCTTTCACGAATATGCTGTTTGTCTATGGGTTACATATTAACAGTTCATCTTTTACAAAAACACTTTTAACAGAAGAAACAGTATTAAAAGAATAGAGGGATGTGTTACAGCTGTATTTAGGACCATCTTCAAATAATTTAAATTTTTTTCTTTTAAGTTTTAAAGTTATAGTATCAAAATTTTAATGTGCCAGTGATTTACATCCCATTTTTAAAGATCTTATGTAGTTTTTTTATATGTTTATTTTATGCATTTCTACATTTTTACCAATTTGTAAGAAATTATTGGCTAAAAAGGTGATTTTGAAGAATACACATGGGTTTTATGTAATTAATATATGTTTCTTAGTAATTTCTTTAGAGATAAAGAGTATGGCAGAGTGGTATCCATGGTCCTTATTTCATTTACCCCTGAACAATGACTATAGAGTTATGAAAATTTGGATCTGCTGATTGTCTGGAGTTGGGAAGAACGTCTTCACCTAGTATGACTGTATTCGGTTGTTGCTGATCTTCAAGTCAGATTGATATTGTCTTAAGTTTACTTTATATAACATAAAAGAACTGTACTTCAGGGGTAGACAAGGCTGTTTATGACCCTTTATTCTATAAGTTACATGTAATGAATAAGAATGATTAAGCTTGAGATCCTCAGAATAATTTTTACCAGATAATGTCTTTGAAAAATGGTGTTGGAGGAGAGCTATAAAAATACCCTGAACCTTCAGAGAAATGAACAAACAGATTCTAGAGCCAGTTAAGCCTGAAACATCACTAGAGATACAAAAAGATGAAACTGAAGCTCTCCTACTTTGGGTACATCATAAGGATGCAGGAAAAGGCAGTAATGCTGGGAAAAAGAAAAGACAGCAGGAAAAGGGGGAAACCACATGGCCGGTTTGGAGCTGGCTGGACTTTATAAAAGAAGCCCCAGGGCCTGGGCCCACAGGAGCTGAGCAGGGCTGTTGCGGACAGGACACTGTGGACGTCACTCGTTCACAGGACTGCCAGGAGTTGGAGCTGACTCAGGGGTGTGTTACACACAATGTCTTGCAATCTTTGAAGCTTTAAAAACAGGAATATTCTATTTCTTGTTGTTAATAACTATTTTATCAACTTTTTTTGATAGACCAGTGCTTTCACTGATTTACTGTTGCATATATCAGCACTTGGTGAATTTCATGAGTAGCATAGACAGTAGGTAGAACACTGAACAATATAAAGCCATTTCAGTGTGGTTTTCTAATTCTACGTGTTTTAGGACAGTTTTTACTCCTATGTGGAATGCTTTTTCCCTTGTGAAATGTGCAGAGGTAGATGCAGTGGGACTTGGTATATGTGCTTTAACTTTAGAATAAACCTATGTGACAAAATGGATTTCATCTATTGATTCTTTTACCAAAAGATTGGTAGTGGGATAAACATAATGTCTCCAGTTTCTATAAAAGGGATTATGGTGTAATGTTTGCTCCCAAACTGAAAATATTAGTCTATTATAGAAAAATTCTTTTAATGTTAGTATGTTTTTATTCATCAGTTTGTTTATTAGATTCTAAATGTAAGTGAGATCATATGGTATTTGTCTTTCTCTGACTGGCTAATTTCACTTAGCATAATAATCTCCAAGTCCAGCTCTACTGTTTCAAAAAAGTTAGTATGTTTTAGAGCAGCAATTTTCAACCTCTTTCATCTCATGGCAGAAATAAACTAATTACTAAAACTCTGGCACAGCAAAAAACATTAAATAGTTTGCTGATCTGACAAAAAGTAGGTACGAGTGTAGTTTTGATTCATGCACAGTGGGATGACTTTGGTGTGTGGGCTGTGGTCATTTTTTTAAAATTTGGCAATCTGAGGGGAAAGAGGGCAGTGCCTTTGACCAAATAGTCAGGTATTGCATATTTTAAAAATTCCTATGCCTCACTGTTTGAAAAATCGCTGTTTTAGAATAAATAACACTCATTTGATCTTTAACTGCATGGTTAACAAGAAAGAGCATTGTTTTGCCCTGGCGGGTGTGGCTCAGTTGGTTGGGTGTTGTCCCACAAGTGAAAGATTGCTGGTTTGATTCCCAATGAAGGCACATGCCTGTTGTTGCAGATTTGGTCCCCCTTTGGAGTGCACACAGGTAACTGACTGATGTTTCTCTCTCACATTTATGTTTCTCTTCCTCTGTGTCTCCCTCTTTTCCCCTCTCCCTAAAAATTAAATAAATAAAATCTTTTTTTAAGGTTATTTTTTGTGGATTATGGTAGCTCATATAGGTGTAAAATTTCTAGGAATGTTACTGGTCAGATATCTTTACCCATAATAAAATTTAATTTTGTAATATAGCATATTTTGCAATGTACAGCCAAAGCTCAGAGAAAAAATAGCAGATCATATTTGTGCAGCATGGCATTATTGAGAAAATAACTTTCATATCTTTTATTATATTTATCTTTACCATACATATTTATGAGGTGTGAATTTTATTGTCCAGATTTTTTTTTATTCCTAAAAAATAGTTTTTAGGTTAGCAGATTTTGAAGAACTTGACAAAGTCATAATCTAAGACCGAATCACAGTTTTGAGAAGGAGCTTCAACTTGTTTTAACTTTGTTTTTTTTCCTTTGCTTTAGCCTGAACACACCACCTGGAACTAAAGTTAAGCTCTCAGGCACTGTGGACATAAAAAATGGATTCCTGCTCTTGAATGACTCTAACACTACAGTTCTTGGTGGTGAAGTGGAACACCTTATTGAGAAATGGGAGTTACAGAGAGTAAGTGAACTAAGAAGAATGTCTTAAACTTTTAAAACGCTACACTCTTTGTCTTGCATTCTGTGTTTTAAGGATGCCTTCCCATAATGAGTAGTAACATTGATCCTTGAGTCAGAGGGGAATAGAATGGACTACAGGGGTCTTTATAGACACTATCTTCTTTTGTTTAAGTACATTGTTCCTCTAATGCAGATGTCATTTTTCAGTATTTTTTCTATTTTCTAACTTATTTTTGAAAATTTATGTTTTACTGACTAGTTTTCAAAACCAGTTATAACTTGTGTGTAATGTACATAATTGTTTCTGCAAAAAGAAGTGTGTGTGCATATATATAAACACAATACATATTTCTCTCATCTACATACATACATACATATATACATACAAGTGAGTACAAGTTAAAATTTCACTATACTGAAGGGGTTTCTTGTAACTAGGTGCTTCCTAGTCACTTTAGGTGATGTTTCCCCCATGTGTGTTAATAGTATCTTCACTCTTGTAGTCATCTAGTCAATCTAGTAATTGTTCCTCTACTTTGCATCCATTAATCAGTTCTCTTTATCCACTGTAGCTGTACCTCATGTCAGTCCCTTGCTCCCCAGATGGATTGCTGTTATGGTAGTTTTAAGTATTAGTATCGCTTGCCTGGACTGCTGCAGTAGCCTTTTAACTGATCTCTACGCATATTCTTTCTCGTGTTCTAATCTAGTTTATGCACTTCTGCCATATTATCTTCCTTAAGCATAACTCAGAGCAGATCACACCCTGCTTTTATTTCAAATGCCTTCATTTGGGATTCAGTTCCATTTGTAACCTAGCCCTAGTTCCAGTTTGCCTTTTCAACTCTAATTTTTTTTTGCATAGATCTTGTTTTAGCCAAATGGAACTACTTTTTCTTTGATTCACTATGCTTCCCTCAATTTTATGTTTGAATTTAAAAAAAGTGTACCACTATATACCATTCATCTTGTGTTCTCCTTCCAAATCCCTGCTTGGCCAAATTGTCCTTGTGCTTTTAGACTCAGATCAAATGCTTGTTTCTTCACATAGTGAAACAGTGACTCTTTTATTGAATTCTTGGGACAATTTAGCCATGTTAAGGAGTGTATTACTTTTTACCTAGCATTAAAATTATATTTATTGCTTGTCTCCTTTAATAGATTATAGGCATCTTAAGATCTGAATTTTTGTTTGAGTCATTTTTTGTTTAGTTCTACAAATATTTGCTGAACAGTGTGTAGGTATTGTGCTGAGTTCTTGCATCTGTATATCATGTAATCCTTTTAATAGTCTTGTGAGGGGGGTTTATGTCCATATAGATCAGAAAATGGACTTTAAGAACTGTTGGGTAACTTGTTTTATGATTATGTTATCGGTAGAAAATGAGTTCTTATGGTGTCACAAGGAATTAAATTTCCCGAGACTAGCACAGGAGGGTGGGGCTCTGTGGTATGGTTTATCGATGATGTACAATTAAGGGGATTTCCCTCCTGACTTTTCAATGTCCCATCACCATCTATCTCACCAAGGAAAATGTCCAACCTCGTCCTCAGCAAGACCAAGACAAAAGCCACTGCCCAGAGTTTCTGCTCCATTTTAAAGTCAGGTCCAGTCCAGTGTCCGGCTAGCTTAGGGTGTGTTCGCAGCAGCAGTCCATTGTTGTGCTGTGGTATTCAGGCTCCGTCCTGGAGCCTGAGTATGGAGTCCCCACAGCCATGGGTCATGTGGCTGCTAGGGCAGAATGGCCACGGAGTAAAGAAGATGGTGCACAACTCCAGTGAGGGTCATCGGGAGAGAAAGAGAGCTTGGTTTTTTTTGAGCCTGCAGGTGTTTGATGATAAGTGGTCTTAGTCCCTATTCAGGTATCTTAGTTTGTGTTTCCAGCTTCTCTGGTGGCAGAATCCACATGGTTGCTGGCCATGTCGCTGCTAAGGCCACATGGCTGTGGAGAGAACGTGAGAGTGCATGGGGCAAACATGTTCCAGGTGGACGAGTGACAGCACTTGTCTGTTCCCCTGGGGTTATGACCAGGAGCTTGGGTTTGGGATGGACCAGGTGCTGTTTCAAAGTAACCAATCGACTTTGCATGTTTTTGTGGGCTTCTGTAAGGTTTATACCTCCTACTTAAACTGACAGGCCTCTGTGGGCCAGCACCTCCCCGTATCACCCCAACAGTCCATCACAGAGGGGAAGGAGGGCTGTTAATCCCTTTGGCAGAACACAATGCTGTGGTCCCCTGGAGTGTGAAGCTGTAGCTTCCTGGTGGTGCAGACAGACTGATGCATCCCATTTTATGAAGCTCAATGTCTAAGTCCCTTTGCTCCCCTTTTCTAGTTAAATACTAAGGTAACCATTAGACTGCCATTAGGTGATGGTCTGAGCATTCCTTTAGCTCCACATGGTAGCTCTGAGTCTTACATGTAATAAATATCATAACACATAATTGGGAAATGAAGGATTCACAAAGCACATAAAGCTAACTACCCTTTAAGCTAAAATTGATGTTCTCGTGCCATTCTTAAATCTTGCCTAAGTGAGCCAAGTGACCTAGCAGTACTTCAAGCTTTGGTATTTTATGATATATTGCTTTTTTCTATTTTCTTAGTGTACCTGTTGGGGGATAAGCAGATAATGAGAATTAAGCACAGTTTTTATTTCATAGTACTCATTCCTTATGATAATAATATGTTACCTTTTGGACTGCTACACTGTGTAGTATAAGATAATGCTTCCTAACTTTGTTGTTTAGTTGGAAATGTTACAAAAGCAGGTACATGGTTGGCTCTTTACATAAAGAGCCAAGTTTATGAACTTTGAATTTCCCAGCGAAACCACACTCATTTTATGTGGTCCTCTCTTTTACAAGTTGATAGTTTATAGTTTTTATTATAATTAGAGTCTTTAAAAAATGTAATAAGATGTTCTAAAGTCAGACCAACATCCTACATAATTTCCCAACCAAGCCAGAACTATTACTACTTCACTGACTGAAAAGTCAGTTATCAGTCTAGGAACTTCCTTGTTCCCAACACACCTGCATGCAGACACATGCACACAGATTAGTAGTAGTTTGATAGTTGTCCTTGTAGTGTCCTATTATCTATCTTTTCCCTGTTTCCTGAAAGCCTACTAGTATTTCTTATAAGGGGGCAATAAAAATTTAGATTAAAAAGAGTTTAAAAACATCTTAATATAATTATAGTTCTCTTTGGTTTTATGTTTTTTGATTTGGTAACCATAGTGATGTAGAAACCATGGAGAGTTCAATTACTTGAGCATCTGGCAAGTAGTACACATAGAAATCATAAACCATGGAGTTAATTTTGGAATTAAAGAGACCCTAAATATTCTTATAAGGTAAATAGGGGAAGAGAACATTGAACAGTATTTAAACTACATGTAGGTGTTGTAGCTGTAGCAAGTTGATTACATACAGGGGAAGAAAAGAAGAAACGTGTTTTTCATCTTCTCAAAGTGAAACTCTGTACCATTAAATGTCAGCTTTCCATTCCCCTCCTCCTCCCAATCTCTGGCAACCATGATTCTACAGGACTTTCTGTCTATGAATTTGACTATTTCAGGGACCTTGTGCAAGTGGAATCACACAATATTTGTTCTTTTGTGTCTGGCTTAGTTCACCTAACATAATGTCTTCAAATTTCATTCATATTGCAGCATGTGTCACAGTTTCTTAACTTTAAGGCTAAATAATATTCTAGTGTGTGTATCTGTTTGTATCACATTTTGTTCATTCATCACTGGTAGACATTAGTATTTTTTTAACCTTTTGGCTATTGTGAATATTGCTGTTATGAGCATGGGTGGATAGATATCTGTTCAAGTTTTGGCTTTCAGTTCTTTGGGGTGTATAGTCAGAAGTAGATTCAGGGATCATACGGTTATAGTTTAATTTTTTAAATAACTATCCTTTGGTTTCCCACAGTGACTGTACCATCTTACATTCCAATCAGCAGTGCACAAGGGATCCAATTTTTCTACATCCTTGACAACTTGTTATTTTATGTTCTTTTTTTAAAAAAGATTATTTATTTATTTATCTTTTAGAGGGGAAGGAAAGGAGAGAGGGAGAGAAACATCAATGTATGGTTGCCTCTCGTGCATCCTGTGCTGGAAACTGGCCTGCAACCCAGGCATGTGCCCTGACTGGGAATCGAACAGCGATCCTTTGGTTTGCAGGCCCGTATTTTATGTTCTTTATATTTTAATATTAAGTATCCTATTAGGTGTGAAGGGGAATCTTCCTGTGGTTTTGATTTGTATTTCCCAAATGCTCAGTGATGTTTGGCATTGTTTTTTCATATGCTTATTGTCCATTTGTTTATCTTCTTCGGAGACATATGGTCTATTTAAGTCCTTTGCCAATTTTTTAATTTGGTTTTCTTTTTTGCTGTTTGATTTCTGAATATATTCTGGATATAAATTTCTTCTCAGTTACATAATTTCCAGATTTTTTTTATATTTCATGGGTTTTCTTTTTATTCTGTTGATCCTGCCCTTTGATGCACAAAAGTTTTTAGTTTTGATGAAGTTCAATTTTATCTTTTGTTTTCTTCTGTTACTTGTTCTTCTGGCATCATATCCAAAAAATCATACCAAGTCTAATGTCATGAAGCTTTCTCCCTCTTTTTTCTTCTAGAAGTTTTTATGTGTTTAGCTCTTAATTAGGTTTTTGATTCATTTTGAAATAATTTTTGTATATGCTATAAGAACACAGGGAAACTTTTTTGTAATGATTATTATTAAAAATATACAGAAATGTTTAAAGTTAAGAAGCTTTCTTAAATAACTAGTATCCTGGCCTATGTGGCTTAATTTGTTGGAGCGTCATTCCATAGATTGAAAGGTTGCAGGTTCAATTCCTAGTCAGGTCATGTACCAGTTGGGAAAAAAATGACAATAAGTGCTCAACAATATATATTAACATCTCAAAAATGAAACAAATAGGAATAGACAAGTGAAAAAAATCTTTCTGAAGATTCTTAGTAACATTTCAAAGGAATTTATAATGTGATAAATTGCTTTTGCCAGGAGAATTTTTTACATATTTATAATACATTGTTAACTTTTTAATTTTAAATATGAGGGTTGAAGGAAAAACAAAATTAATAGAGGGATGGGAGTTTATTTTTATTAAATATCAAATGGTTGGTTGAATACTTCAAAATATAAACTGATTTTCAACAGTCTTTGTGTTTGTTTTTTATTTGTTATTTTGAATCATCAAGTCTTTAATCCATTCCATATATCTGGCATAAGAAGGTGTTCTGATTAAAACAAGTTATCATAAAGGACATTTTATTGTAATTAAAAGTAATCACTATATTATAAACTGTAACAATTTGATCATTTTAAATAAGAATCACTGTTATCAGTATTCCTATAAACTATTTCTAGTCAAAACACTTTTGAACCCTGTTTCAAGAACTGGGGATGAAGACCAAATATATATTTCTTATTATATTGCAATATAACAAGTACGTTGTTTGCTAATAGATTATCTGTCTCAAAAATTTTATTTTAAAGGTGATTTCCAGGTAATATTTGTATCAGACAAATATTTTAATATGGGTTAAAGTAAAATTTTTGTTACCAAAGTACGTTATGTTTGAATTTGCTACTTGTTGAAGAGGTTTTTTACTGTGTTTTGTTCTTTTATTTAATCCTCACTTGAGGACATGCTTATTAATTTTAGAGAGAAGTGAAGGGAGGAAGAGAGAGAGGAAGAGAAGCATTGATGTGAGAAAGACGCATCAGTTGGTCACCTCTAGTGCACGCCTGGACCAGGGATAGAACTTGCCACCTAGGCATGTGCCTTGACTGGGAATCAGACCCACAGCCAGGGCTGTGTTTTGTTCTTATGGGAGCAGCTTAGAAAGCGGTTGTGAATGTGTGTTTTGTACGGAAAAATTAGGAGAGAGCCTCTGCCTAATTATAGAAGTTAGGGATGAGGTATTTTGTGTAGTTTGAAATAATTTATGGAAGACTTTTTTCCTTTTTTAAATAAAAATCTACTAAAATAAGTAGATTCCTGGTGCATCATAAATGTAGAATTTTTTAATGTGTATCTTCTGTTTTGTGACTCACTTTCTTCGCAGAGCTTGTCAAAACATAATAGAAGCAATATTGGAACTGAAGGTGGACCACCTCCTTTTGTGCCTTTTGGACAGGTAATGACTTTCATATTGGCAGATGTAATTTAATCAACAAGAGGTATTTTTCATTTGTATCAAGCTGTTTTTAGTTTTGTGCCAAGCTATTCATTCAGAGGTCAGAGAGTTATATGGAAATATAGTCAGTTAAAGAATTTAATAATTGTTTTTTTTATTTACTGCAATTAAATCATTGATGCAGGTGCTTTTCTCAAAAGCTGTTAACCCAAAGATTGAAGAAATTAAGAAACACACCTGAAGAGCAACGAATAGCTAATTAAGATAAAACGGTAGTGGGGCATTTTTTTGAGAGAAATGCAAAAGAAGATAAAATATGCTATAATTTCTCATTTTATTTATTAAAAATAAAGGAGGGAATGAGAAAACAAAAGTTTCAACAGGAGACAAGATGTGAGAAGACAAGGGGCAGGGAAGGGGCACCATGGCACTTGCCGGGAGCCTGCTGTCCCAGGTGCCCCTCTCAAGGTTCTGTTTGTCTTCCTTGATCCAAATACCCACGTTAGTCAGGGACATAATTTTGTTTTCAGAGGGATTTTCTTTTTCAACCACAGTGACACTGATCCTCTTCTGACATAAGCCAAAGGTTACCGCAGCATGTTTGTTACCTTGAGGTAGCTGCTCCGCTGGCCGGTATCTTGTGACTTCCTGGCTGTGCTCAGCAGCAGACTGCATTCGGGGCAGTCTCCTCTGGTCTGCCCCTACTGCATCCCTGAAGAGTCTGCGAGTAATCCCTAGGACGGCTTGCTCTTTGCCGCACGATGCCACCAGATTTAGCTATTTGTATTCCGCCTTGTGTTCGCTCTTTATTTTTTGTTGCGACTGCTGGCTCAGATGAGAGTACTGAAGGTGGGTTAGGAACACGACAGGTAGGAAACAGAGACCTGTGTATCTGTTACAGCTTAAAAAGGATCTCGTGTGAAAAGGATGATCAGAAGATAAATGAGTAGGATCAGATGGTATCCTCTTCAAAAACCTTTTTGTAGAGTCTAGTCAAAATTAAAGTAAATCCAGCATCATGTCTGTTTTGAAAGAATTTAAAAATGTGTCAGTTTTTATTGTGCTTTGTAACATGACACAGTGAAGATGAAAGGAGGCTCGACGCCCTGTGGTGGGATCTGTGTTGGTGATGCCCTCCCTTCTACTAGTGTAATGAAAACCCCAGAGTAAAACCAGTGCAGATATTCCAGTAGTTTGTATCTGAAAGTGATAAATGATATGTTTCTAAGTATATGCTTTCCCCTTATATATTCCAGTGATAATATTTCTTTTATAAATGGCTCAGATTTCTGATTTAATTACTTTAAAAAATTTGAAGTGTGTTTTACAGTTTTTTGCCTTAGGAAGGGTAATAAAAGTTATAGTATCACTAATATTATTTGTTTATGAAGTTCATTGTAAAAAATTCTTTTCATCATATCTTAGCTTGTATATGGATGGGTTAAAGGGAGAAATACTGACTGTGTATTACTATCTACAGGATATATTTATTTTTATTGCTCAAAATCTGTATTTGTATAAGACATTTGTTTGAGAGAATGTTTCCTTTGTTTTATCAATGAGTTGAGAAAAGGTTTATTTTTTAGAATTTTTACTGCTTCAAGTAGAAGGAAGAAATAGAATTCGGGGCTTATTTTTAAGCAACGATGACTTTCTTAATTTATTTTATGAGACTAAAAATAAAAAACTTTGCATCCTGATTGAGGGGCAGGGTTTGTTTTTAGCTTTTAGTTTATAAGTTCAGATACATCTTTTTATATGTTAAAATAACTCTACTACTTAACCCTCATAAGGATATTAAGGCATAATGTAATAAATCAAGCACTTAATAAAAACCTCAATTTATTTTTCTTGTGCAATAGTCTAGATCTTTTGAAATTTAAAGTATGTTATTTTCCTAAAATGAAACTTAGATCTCCTGCTTTCTTATGTGTTGTGAATATGGGCCCTGTTTTAGGGGGGGCACATTTTTGTGAAGCCTTCCATTGTATTTACCAGTTACACTTATTTAAAAGTTACTTTAATCAGTTTTCTCCTTTTGTTTTTTAAATGTATGATAAAGAATTGTATTTTTATGGGCTCTCAGCTGTTGTGATAGAAATTTTTTTGAAGAAGTAATACTTTATTATGTAAACCTTGAATCTCCTTGGGAAGTACTGAAGTGACTGATTTTTATTTATTATTACCAGAAGTGTGTATCTCATGTCCAAATGGATAGCAGAGAACTTGATCGAAGGAAGACATTGCAAGTTACAATGCCTGTCAAGCCTGCAAATGATAATGATGAATTTGAAAAGCAAAGGACTGCTGCTATTGCAGAAGTTGCAAAGAGCAAAGAAGTAAGAAACTAAATTATAATAAATTTTTCTTATTTCTTATCATCGTGTTCTATTTTGATTACTTATAATTATTATTGTTTTTTCACATATGGCAACTAATACTACAAACTTTTGACATTCTCCAGGTATCGGTAGACACGCCCTGGTGCATATGGAGTCTCAAGCTTACATACTGTGGTCCAGTGTTCTTTTTCCAAATCCTTTTGACAATCCCATTAAGTTGCTCTTTCTAGCAACCACACTTGTTTTCTTTTCTTTTTCTCCCTTCCTTTTCTTTTAACATTGTAGCAGCTGAATCCAATTGCTTTTTATTTCAGTAGAGGGTTTTCTATCATTGATTGAGCTTGATAACACTTTTTGAGGATAATTTTCTCCTGTAATATTCCTCTCAGCAATTTCTGAGAATGCAGGTAAAAATCAAAGGATAATCAGTAGCTCAGGATTTATATCTGTCAGTTTTCATTCTTAAATCTATTTAATATATAGTAAAAAATTTTATATATACATATAAATATGCATATAACCCCACATTTATATGTCATACATATTTATATGTATATATGTATTATTTAGTATTAATATCCAAATGTTTTTTTAATTATGTTTAATTTCTTTCTTACTTGAAATAGGTGTTTTCTCTAGTTATTAGACTTTGATAAGAAATTTAAATTCATGAATTAGTAGTTTAGACAGGATTTTCTTAACCAGTAAGATTAATATTGGTTTTGTTATCAAAACCAGTAACGAATATTAGCTAACTGCTCTCCTGTTGAGATACAAAGTTGAAGGAGGAGACTTCTTGCATTTCGGTTGTTCTTCTGCATGTCTTCCTATCATCAGTCCAGTGTAGACGCCAAGAGCACAGACTCTGGAATGAGGCAACTTGGAAGCATATCCTACTGACAAGCTTGGATATGTTATTAAATTTTGTAACCTGTTTTTCTTTATCTATGAAAAAAAGATAATAATGGTACCTACTTCATGTGGTTATGGTGAGAATTAAAATTGATAATCTTTAAAACATTTAGAATACTATATGGCACAGATCATCATATTCCTTTGCTAAAAAGCTTTTAATAAACATGACTATTGCTATACTTTAGTATTTTCTCTATTCTAAAGCATATTTTTAAAAATGATTTTAATATTTCTGAAATTAATATATTTTACACAGTTTACACAAAATATATTTCTTTTTCCCAAAAATTTATTAAAATGTTGGAGTTTCAGAAGAGGATATTGGGGATATATCAAATTCTCAATGACTTTGGGAAAGTTCTTTTGATTTATGCTTCAACTTTTCTCTCAATATTTTGGCTGATGTAGTTTCTACTATGTTTATTGGAATATAGTTAACATACTGTAATACGTTTCATTTTTTTAAGTCATAATTGATCATGTTATATTTTCCCATATTTGATAAGTGAAATTCGTAGTTTTCTGAAAAACACTTGACTTCTCAATTTATATATGATGGAGTTGAGGGAGGCTGAGAAGTTGCCTGAGTTTACCCAGTGACAATTCTGGGACTAAACCTATGTGTATGACAGTAGAAGATTATATCTGTATTTATATATCTCTATGTATTGATAACTATACACACAGTTATGTTTAATCTTTCTGAACATCAAAATCACATAACAGTGTAATTGTTCTAAAAGGATGTTTTATGATCCTTCATCAAAATGCTTGTATTGATTTGGTGAAATCTACTACAAATGACTAAGTGATGATTTTCATTCAGTTTTTTATTCTTTCACTGAGCAAATTTTTTTTGAGAATCTACTGTATGCAGGAAGTGTTTTAAATGCTTAGGTTAAATCAAATAGATAAATGATCCCTACCCTTATCAAGCTTATATAATAGTAAGGGTGACAGACTAATACATAATAAGTATATAAATTTATGTAGGTTAGAAGTTGGTAAGAGCGATAGAGAACAAAGGAAAAGTAAATTAGGATAGGGAGTCTGGAGTGCCATTTGTGGGGCAGGGGTACAATTTAAAAGAGGATGCTCAAAAATAAAGAATTCTTTGTAATTATGTAGTTTACATACTAGTAAAGACAGTAAATTTAGTACGTACACATACTAAATGAGTACACATTTAGTACACACTAAATTTGAGTATACATGCTCAGATCTCATACTTACAATGAGATTTGAGCAAGACTTGAAAGAGATAAGAAATTAATTATGTGGTTATCTGAGAGACTTATTGTAAGGAGAAGGAAAAGCTGTTGCAAAAGATCAAAAGTAGGAGTATATTTTCAGGGAATAGCAAAGTGGCTCTTAGAAGCAGAAAGAGCAAAGGGACAAGTTGTAGAATATAAAGTCAGGTGATAATGGGGTTCGGCCTGTATGGGGTCCTGGAAGCCATCTTGAAGACATTGGCCTTTATTCAGAGAGAAATGAGGAGCCTCTGGGGGATTTTCAGCAGTAACATCAGCTGACCTACATTTTTAAATATACATTTCAGAGACAGAGGAGTGGAGAGAGAGAGAAAGAAGGAGAAAGAAACCGATTTGTTACACTTATTTACGCAGTTTTTGGCTGTTTCTTGTATGTGCCCTGCTCAGGGATTGAACCTACCACGTTGGTGTATTGGGATGACATGGCATTCTAAGTAACTGAGCTACCCTACATTTTAAAAGTCTAATTCTGGCTGTTGTGTTCAGAACAGATTGTAGAGCAGGGGGATTGGAATCAGACAAGTCAGGAAATTATTGATGTAATCCAGGTGGAGAAAAATGGTGGTAGTTTGAATGAAGATGGCAGCAGTGCAGGTGGTACAAAGTGGTCAGATCTGTAATTTTGAAAGTAGAGTTACCAGGATTTCTGACAGATTGAATGTGTCGTGTGAGAGAAGAAGCAATGTCATGAATAACTCCAAGGGCTTTGTCTTGAAAAATTTGCAGGGTAGAGTTGCTTACCTTGAATTAGAGAGGATGGGAATGGAACATGTTGGAAGGAAAAATATTTGGTGTTTTGTTTTGAACCCGTTAATATTGAAGTGCCTAACAGACATCCTTGTTGCAATGTTTGATAGGCAGTGAGACAGAAGAGTGTAGTTGAAGGGTGAACTTTGGAATGAATATATGGATTTGAGAATTGTCATATGGTTGATATTTAAAATGATGAGTTAAGTGAGATCACCAAAGGAAATAGGGCTGATTAAAAAAGAGAAAAGGGTAAGGAATGAAAGTGGTTGCATTTCACCCTTACAGGTTGGGTGAAGTTGAACCAGCCAAGGTATCACTGGTAAGATAGGATGAAAACAAGACAATGCAAAAATTGTATCATGGAAGGAGCGTTGAACTTATCAAAGACTGCTGAAAAAATAACGTAAAACATTATTTTACAAGAACGAATGTAGGATTGGGGAAATCATTCATTCACTCTACATTATTCTTAACATTCATAGAGGTGGTGTTAAGATAAAGGATAAGGGTACAGATACCAGTAGTGGGTTGGTGTGGTGAAAATGGTTCAAGTTCTTCAGTGATTATTTTAGTTATTTCAGTGAGGGAGTAGGTAAGGCCAACCATGACAGTGGGGTGATGCTGGAGGCTTGAGTAGTGAAGAGAACAGGCAAAACTCTGGTCTAGAAGATTGGGAGGATGGATGGGCTAGGGAAATGTAGGAAGATTGCTAGGCAGCATTGAAGTCCCACTTGAGTTGCATGGTCATGGTGATCGCACACATGCTTAATTCACATAATACGCACCAGATGGTGTGGCTCATAGAGGACATCAGTTGCCTTATGGATAATGTTTAAGTTTTGATGTTTCTAGATATTTATATGTTTAGTAAATAACAACTGCTTTAAAGCATTGAAAAGCAATACTGAAAATACTATTTATCCTATTTCTTAATCCATAAAATGGAAAGAAAATAATAAGGAAATGTAACCAGAAGATGAGATTATTTCACTGACACCAAAAGAAAAAATACTTTTGGAGTTACAGAATTTAAATTCCAGGAATATATTTAATTTGGAACAGGTCAGGCTCCAGACTTTTCAGGTAACTATGTTTGAATATATTAAACAAAACAATATTATTGCCATCTGTTATGAGTGTTTACTATGTACCAGTTACTGAATTTATCACTCATGTCAATGATGTCATTTGATTCTCAAAATATCCCTAGCAGGTGAATTTTCTCCTCTCTGTTTTAAGCATGAAAAATCTAAGGCCTGTGGAAGGAGGGGGTTATATGACTTGTCTCAGGGCAGGGGCTCCACAGCGTGGCGGAGCCAGGGAATTAGTCCCACCTGTGTTCTTAACTATACTCCATTGTCTCCCAGCTTAATGAACTTTGTATCACATTAATATAAACTCACATATTTGTGCAAGTAATGACTATCAAGACATTCCAGATGTGCTTTTTTTGCTGGGATTGCAAAAACCAAAAATTAAATGAATCCAGTAATACATGTTTGGTTTTTGAAGATGTTGTTTTACTTTTGATTTGAATTAAATTCGTATATTGTAGTGTATCAACTACCTAGTGGAAATATTTACTATGTTGTCCATAAATGCTTAGCTAACATCATTTTTCTGTTTTTTAGGTTTTATTTCTTTATATTTTATCTGATCCAAAATAATTTCCCAATATTATATAAATCTATATCTAAGATGTTTTCTTACTGTAATCATTTTAAAACATTTGAAAATATTGATCGTTATCTTGAATAAAATCAAGTCTTGACTGCCTCTTCTTTTATTAGATATATTAGGTTATGGAGATATTATATAAGTGATGCTTAATTTAATATTATACAAGTAACAATTGTGAGATTTTTTTTTTTTTAAGAGAGGGGGGAGGGAAGGACAAAGAGAGGGAGAAAGAGCATTGATTGGTTGCCTCTTGCATACCTCATCTGGGGACCTGGCCTGCAACCCACGCATGTGCCCTGACTGGATAATTGAACCAGCGACATTTTGTTTCACAGGCTGGCACTCAATGCACTGAGCCATACCAGCCAGGGCTATGATATGCTTTTAAATCGTGAATTTGTATTTTTCCAAAGCAGTGTTCTTTATGCTGTAGTGTTTTCAGAATAGCTTTGATAAAACATAACTGAAATCAAATAACATTTTAAAATTTGATTATACATGTAATTATTCAAAGACATTAGGCAAAATAAGAAATACGGACTTTAAATTTTCTATATATAGTTTGTAAGACATAGCATATGTAATTAATATGAATAATAAATTAGTAATAAAAGTTTTAATCTTTTGTTGATATTTATATTATTTGTTTACCTTCTAAGATTATAGAATTATATTACTAGATCATGGACATAATATAACTGATTCTTGGACAGGTTCAGTGCCTTACTGATGATAGCCTTGACATGTAGCTGGATTTGTAAGCCAAGCCTCATGATATTAGTCAAGTATTTTACCCTAGAATTATTTTTGACACCCATTCTCCATAGTGCTAGTATTATTTAATTTTCTTCTGTATTACTACCTACTTAAATTTATTATGATTTGCCTTGTACACTTAAAAATTATAGTTATATAATTATTTTATTGCTTTGCCTAGACTTGTGGGGGAAAAAGTTTATAGCTAGTAGATACTTGTTAAAAAAACTAGGTAAAATTAATTTTTTCATGCACAATATAATTAAGAAACTTTTAACTACTTCAGTTTTGTTAGATTATTTTTAGTTGTAGCTTAGCCTTTAGAAATATTTTTAAATGCTGTTTATTTACATCTCTGTTCTCTTTCTCTTATCTAAAGACCAAGACATTTGGAGGAGGTGGCGGTGGTGCTAGAAGTAATCTCAACATGAATGCTGCTAGTAACCGAAATAGGGAAATTTTGCAGAAAGAAAAGTCCACCAAATCAGAGGGGAAACATGAGGGTGTCTACAGAGAACTGGTAAGGCTGAAGAACCAACACAAAGTTAATATGTTCTTTCTTTGATAGCCTTGATGATATATTTTTTTTTTTGCAACCACCATTGGCCTCCAGTGTATTATGGATAGATGTTACAACTCTAAAAAGGCCTTCATTAAGATTTATAATTCATTCATGGAAAATTTGGATTGTTTGAAAAATAATTTACTTGAAACTTCCGTTTTATTTAAATTTATAATATCTGAATAACATCATTTGGAATGGATTGATAAAAACCATCAAATTATATAGAGGGTTCTCAGTGGAAATTATGTTCTAAAAGTTGATGCATCAAAATGTAGATATCTGCCCTTCCCACAGATTTTTGTCTCTGTTTTGTTTGGTCTTTGAAAAAACATATTGAAATAAGTTCATGTATATTATGGACTCAATTGTAAAATATATCAGGAATTTTAAGATAAATAGGAAGAGCCAAACATATTTCTAATATGCTGCAGTATCCTTAGAATGTAACAGAGCTAACAAGAATTCATTTTCCTCTGTCTTAAAAGGTTGAATTACTTTGGATGATATTATCTGTAGAATACAGATTAATAAGACTATCTCATATAACAAAAAATTCAGAGATAGATGGTTACAAAAGTCGATAAATTTAACAACGTTGGGACTATCGTGAGAATCTCTGTGATTTATTGTTACAGGATTCTCTATCCATTAAATTGCCATTGAAAAAATTCAGAGTCAGGAAGGAAAGGGGTCCATTCCCTGGGAATGGGTCTGTTTTATCAGATAATAAAATACTTTTGGAATCTCCTACAACTTTCATTTGTGTCTCATGGACTAAAAAATAGGTCACATGCTTCATAAATTAATTAAACACTGGCCAAGGAGAATGGTTTTATAACTAGGGACTAGGCTTTCTTTTCCTTGTATATATGCCTATTTAATTATTGGGGGAAATATTCAGGGTTTTAAGGATAAATTCAATATAGCAAACTCCAAAATACATCGTTCCTAATTTAAGAAGCTCTTAAACATTATTAAATTGAGAACACTTCTGTGGGAATGTTTTGGCATAGAATATCAGAGGCTTGCACTTTGGGGTAATTGCAAATATTAAAAACATATGAAGGCAGTGATATCACAAAGATGGCAATATAGAAATTCCTAGGAATTTGCCTATCCACTGAAATAATCATTGAGTTGAGAAGCACTGTCTGAAGTAACTGTTTTATCACCATGGAGCCTAGTCAGAATCTTCAGTATCCAAAATAGTGATTGATGGAGAAGATGCCAGTCATAGAGATAATAGAACAAAGACTTAGGTGAACATACAACACAAGAAATATAATTTTTGCAAAGGAAATTTTGAAAGTACCTAAACAAACTTAAAAATGCAGTCTTTATCAAGTAACATCATCAGTTCCTGAGGAGAAGGGAGAATCTGATTTACAAAATTACCATCATTGTAGTATTCAAAATGTCCAGTTCTCAAAAAAATTACAAAGCACACCAAGACAACAACAACAGCAACAAACCAGGAAAATATGCCTCAGTTGTAGGAAAAAGAAATGGACAGAAATTATTTCTAAAGAAATCCAGGCATTAGACTTACTAAACTAAGACTTTAACTGTTTTAAATATGTTCAGAGTATTGAAGTGCACCATTGACAAGGAGATCAAAGAAATCATTAGAACAGTATTTGAACCAGTAGGGAATACCAATGAAGAGATAATTGTTTTTCAAAGGGGTAGAAATTATAAAAAAGAAACCAAACAGCATTTCTGGAGCTCAAAAATACATGAGCTGAAATATAAAAAGAAATTATTAGTCAGGTTAAACATGAGACTAAAGCAGGCAGAAGAAAGAGTCAATGAATTTTAGTATGTGGCAATTAAAGTGACCCAGAGTAACATGCAGAAAGAGTAAAAGAATGGAGGAAAATAGAGCCAAGGGACTTGTAGGGTACAGTCAAATATACTAACATATATACTGTGGGAGTTATGTGGAAGGGATGGAAAGGCTATTTGAAGAAGTAATAGCCTCAAACATGTTAATATCATGAATCTTCACATCCAAGAAACTTAACAAACTCCAGGAAAATAAAATCAGAGAGATGCAACAAGATAATCAAGTTATAAGACACAACAATTATAATCAAGTTGTTGAGAGCTGAAGGCAGAGAAGTCTTAAAATCAGTGAAAGAAAAACAACTCGTCAAGAACAGGAAAGCTCAATAAGATAAACAGCCAATTTCTCATTAGAAACTATGGAAGCAAAAAAAGCAATGGGGTGATATATTGAAACTAATGAAAGGAAAAACTGTTAACCAAGAATTCTATATCCAGGGAAACTTATTCAAAAATGAAGAGGACCATCAAAAGAATAACTTAAAATACTGTTATAAATTTGAGTGTACATGAATTATTCTAATAACTAGGTAAAAAATTCTTTTATAAGTTGGATGGTTTTCAATTCTCTTTTTCAACAGTTGATCAAGATTTGATTGGGGTGCCAGCTGATAGCTCCTTAAAATAATTTTTGTAATAGATGATATTATAGGTTGAATTGTGTCCTTCCCTAAACACTTATCGGAGCCTTAACTGCCAGTATCTTAAAATGTGACTTTATTTTGACATAGGGTCTTTACAGTGGTATCAAGTTAAAAAGAGGGCAGTAGAGTAGGCTCTAATTCAATATAACCCTAATTCAATCTCTTTATGAAGAGGGAAAATTTAGACACAGGTAGAGCCACATATATAGGGAAAATGACCTGAAGACCCTTGGTGAAAGGATGGCCGTGTAACTAGAGTGATGCGTATACAAGCCAAGGAATGCCAAGGATGGCTAGAAACAACAGATGCTGGAAAAAGCAGGAATTTCCCCCCTAGAGATGTCAGAGAGAGTACGGCATTGCCAACACCTTGAATGAGATTTGGTTAATGCAAATCAGATCAACAAGAAAGTTAGAATAAGGTGTACCAAGGTTGGGGATTAATTGATTATTAAAAGATTTTTTTTTTTTTAGTTCTATGTATGGGACAGTTTTTTAATTAGATACTTACTGAAGATAGTTAGGAGAGAGAAAGTTTTGGAAGGTTTGATTATTTTTTACATTCAGGTAAGTTTTCAAATAAGAAAGAAGAATTACAGTTTTAATATCCAGTCCTTTTTGCATTTACTTTAGCATAGCTAGAGCATGGATGTATATTTTCTCTTATGTGTCAACTATGATCTATTGATAGTAGCTACTGTGTTTAAAAAGGATTCTTTGTTTAGAAGGATACAGTCAGAGTTTGGGAAGAAATACTGTGCTTTTATCAATGTCTGCATGGGTATCAGTGACTGCCTGCAACATGCATGCCATGTATATCTTAAAACCTGTCCATCTGAATTCTTAGGTGTAGTAAAGTTAGTTTTGTATTTAACAGCAGGGCACGACTGAAGGAATTTCTTTATGGAATATGTGTATGTTGTTTAAACAGTTTTGAAATTCAGGTCTAGATTTGTCAAGGAGATTTGGGTTCTGGCATTTGTAAAGTAGATTTTCCTACTCAGTCAGTGTACAGATTGTCAGAGCATCATAGGTAGACTATATGGCTAATAAATATACAGCAGTATGGTGCAGCAATGGAGAGTAGAAAAAACAAAGTAGAAAAAAATGATGCTATCATTTTGTTAGCTTCATTTTATTATTTTACATTTAGGACAGGTGCTATATAAATTATATTTTCTTTCTAGAGTGGAGATGTGTTAACCATAACAATTTTTAATTAGGTCAGTTTTCCTGTCTATACTATTTTCAAAAGCCTTATCATAGCATATGATAAATTGTTTTTGTTTTGCATTAGTAATGGTACTTGTAACATCAGAGGATACTCAAGGCACAGCTCTACATATCATTGCCGATTCTTCCTTGGCTGTTGGGTACAAAAAAAAGCAGCAAGTGAATGTTTGATTTATTTGACATTTTTCCATAAGCATATGATGTAATTTTTAGTTTAATAAAATAATATGTAGTTAAAAACTTATACCTTGCTTTGTTTATTTACTATCAGCATACCTTTTCTCTTTATTCCTTACAGGTTGATGAGAAGGCTCTGAAGCACATAACAGAAATGGGCTTTAGTAAGGAAGCATCAAGGCAAGCTCTTATGGATAATGGCAACAACTTAGAAGCAGCATTGAATGTACTTCTTAACAGCAATAAACAGAAACCTGTTACAGGTCCACCTCTGAGAGGTATAACTCATTAAGCAATGTGCGAGATAGTGTTTGCTTTTTGGAGGAGTATATGTTGCAGACAGAGTCTGAGATCTAGAAGGATATTGACCATTGTGGTAAATGCTTCCAGTTCTGCAACTACAGAAATTTTTGGAGGTTCCTCTGCATTTTGTTTTTTTCATTTTTATGTAAAATAGGTCTAACAATATCTTATTTATAGGGTGGATATAATACAGAAAATATAAAGTGTCTAGTTCTATTAATTATGTCACTTGTATAAATAACTAAAGAATCTGCAAACTTTTTAAATTACAGGAATATGACAATTTAGTGTTATTCTTTAATTGCATAGTTGGATGTATTATATAATTTTTAATTGCATAGTCAAATATATTATGTGATTTTTAAAGTCCTAATCCTATATTCTTTTAAAAAATTAAGTGTATAAAAATTTTATGAAAATTATTTTTTCCTTAGAAGTAATTTATGTGAAAAAAATTAAGTTTCTAGATAGATCATTTGGATGATTAAAAGGACTAATTAATACAGTCATTAAATTTTATTGACTTCCGGCTAAGATGGGGGCGTAGGTTGATATACTTTGCCTCCTCACACAATCAAAAGAAGGACAACAGCTAATTTAAAAACAGAAAAAGACCATATCAGCCATAAAATTGAACTGTATGGAAGTCCGACAACCAAGGAGTTAAAGAAGAAACATTCATCCAGACTGGGAGGGCGGTGGAGACAGACAGCCAGGGTGGAGAGGATGTGTGGCAAGGCAGCAGCTGAAGGAGCAGGCCGACAAGACAGTGGCTGATGGTCCCACATTTGCATGCGGATAAACTGGGAGCAGTGCTGGGAAGGGAGACAGACTGTGCAACCCAGGGTACCAGCAGGGGAAAAGAAAGCCTGAAAACCTGGCTATAAAAACCTGTGGGGCTCGTGGTGGTAGGAGAGACTCCCAGCCTTAAAACAGAGCTCTCCAGAGAGATCCACAGGGTCCTGGAACATACACAAACCCACCTACCCGGGAATCAGCACGAAAGGGGCCCAGTTTGCTTGTGGGTAGCAGAGGGAAGTGACTGAAAGCCAGATGAGAGCCAAGCAAGCGTCATTGTTCCCTCTCTGACCAATCCCCTACATACAGTACCACAACTCAGCTACTTAAGTTGCTTTGACCTGGTGAATATATAAGGCTCAGCCCTTTACTACATAACAGGTATGCCGAGACAAAGACATTGGCCCAAATGAAAGAAAAGATCAAAGCTCCAAAAATAGGACGAAGCAATGAACAGATAGCCAGCCTATCAGATGCAAAGTTCAAAACACTGGTAATCAGGATGCTCACAGAAATGGCTGAGTATGGTCACAAAATGAAGGAAAAAGTAAAGGTTATGCAGAGTGAAATAAAAAAAATACACAGGGAACCAGCAGTGAAGGGAAGGAAACTAGGACTCACATCCACGGTTTGGAAGGAAGAAATGAACATTCAACCAGAACAGAATGAAGAAACAAGAATTTAAAAAGATGACGAAGCTTAGAAACCTCTGGACAACTTTAAACATTCCAACATCTGAATCATAGGGGTGCTAGAAGGAAGAGTGAGAAATTGAAAACTTACTTGAACAAATAATGAAGGAGAACTTCCCCAGTCTGGCAAAGTAAATAGACTTCCAGGAAGTCCAGGAAGCTCAGAGAGTCCCAAAGAAGTAAGACCCAAGGAAGCACACACCACAGCACAGCATAATTACATTGCCCAAGAATAAAGATAAGGAGAGAAACTTACAAGCAGCAAGAGGAAAGGAGACAGTTACCTACAAAGAAGTTTCCATAAGACTACTAGCTGATTTCTCAAAAGAAACCTTGCAGGCAAGAAGAGGCTGAAAAGAAGTATTCCAAGTCATGAAAGCCAAGAACCTACATCCAAGATTACTCTCTCTAGCAAAGCTATCATTTAGAAGGGAAGGGCAGATAAAGTGCTTCCCAGATAAAGTCAAGGAGTTTATTATCACCAAGTCCTAATTATATGGAATGTTAAAAGGACATATATAAGAAAAAGAAGATCAAAACTATGAACAGTAAAATGACATTAGACTCAAAATTATCAACAACCAAACCAAAAGGAAAAACAAACTAAGAAAGCAACTAGAACAGGTACATACTCACAGAAATGGAGATCACATGGAGGGTTATTGGTGGGGAGGTGGAAGGAGCATAATGCCGGGAAAGGCACAGGAAATAAGAGTAGTTGGTAGGTACAAAGTATCAGGGGGAGGCTAGCATAGTATAGGAAATGGAGAAGCCAGAGAACTTATATATGTGATCCATGGACATGAACTAAGGTGGAGGAATGCTGGTATGTGGGGGGGCAGAGTGGAGTGAAGGGGAGAAAAAAATGGAACAACTGTTAGAGCATAATCAATAAAATATACTTACAAAAACATTTTTATTATAAATGATGTAGAATATACAGAAATATATGAAAAATATATACAAAGTCTTGCTTAAGATGTCTGCTAATTATAATTTAGTGTATTTTGTCCTTTTGTTTTTACATGTACAATATATATGTTCTTACTTCTTAAGGTAAAGGAAAAGGCAGGGGGCGAATAAGATCTGAAGATGAGGAAGAACTGGGAAACACAAGGCCGTCAGCACCAAGCACCTTATTTGATTTCTTGGAGTCTAAAATGGGGACTTTGAGTGTGGAAGGTAGGCTAACTCAAAATAGTTTTTTTTTAAAGACCAAACTTCATGTGTAACTACAGAAAAGTTTACTAGTGCAACTAACAGTATGAACCTCTGCTCTGGGTGTTTATAAATTTCCTTAATTATAAATTGCCTATTTGATAAAAACACATAAGAAAATTGTAGTTGTTATAATTTGAAATATTAGATGGAAGCTTATTTTTCTGTCTTACTGTACATTGAGTAATAATGCCAAGCTCTTTTTCCCCAACTTTACTAGGTGGCAGATTTAGCCATGGAAACACATCACTATGTTGGGAAAGTTATAATTATATAACCTTATATAATTAGTTTGATTGTAAAGTTGGTCTGTCTTTTTCCCCACATATTATGTATCAAGTAAAAATATTCACACAAAGAGTAAATATGCTCCATCAATGTTGTGTACTTTGTAATGTGATATATTCTGTCAATTAACATAAATGCTGAAAAGAGAAATAAGTATGTTAAATGTTTATCTTTTCTCTTAGCATGGAGCATGGTAAATATTTTCTAAAAGAGTAAGTTTTCAAAATATGATTTCAAAAATTTAGGAAAATAATACTGTTAAATTCATTTCTCACTTTTATATATATTTTGAGTCTATTAAAGCTTGGAGATAAATGCTTTATAGCAAATTTAAAGTATCCATATTACATGAAAATAGAAGCTTATTTGTTGCTAGATTACATAAGTAATGTAATTGAGAAAACAAATATTTGATGTGGAGAATATTTATAAGCAAACACATGTAAGAGCATTATTTTCTTGATTATAAATCATAATGTCTTGGTTTTCCATTGTTGTTTAACCAATAATCACAAAAATCAGTGGCTAAAAACAATGCAAAAATATTACCTGTGAGTCAGAAATCCAAGCCTCACTTGGGGCTTCTGCTCAGTCTTAAGTACTGGAATCAAGATTGCAGTTGGTTTATGATCTGGTCTGAGGCTTGAAGTCCTCTTACAAGTCACAGGTGGTTAGCAACACTCAGGTCCTTGTGGATGCATACTGGGGAGTGCTTTCAGCTGCTAATGGCCTTCCCAGCTGCAGGACCCACGCCACAGGCAGTTCACTTGTTGGTTTGCTTCTGCAAAGCCAGCAGGAGAATCTCAGCTGCTGCTTCCAATTCCTTTGACTTCCTGACATTTTTGTGCCAACCTTCCTTTATACTATCCTAATCAGGGCTCCTTTGATTTCCTTTATCTTTCTTTCTCCCTACATTTGTTTTTGACTCTTGAGGTATCTTCTTAGTCATAATGAGGTTGAGATTGAGGAAAGTGTTTCCACTGTGAACTGTGGGCTTGCAACGCTTCAATTCTCACAGAATGCATCTTAAACTAATAAAATGAACTAGGTATCAAGGTTAATTAAGATACGTGGTAAGAATGATACATTCAAAAGTGAACCTCTGTGTTAGAGAAATTTATTTCTTAGAGGACAGAAATTTATGAATACTTTGTTAATAGTGGATATTATTTGAGTAGAATATGTTGTATTTATGTTACTGTTGTCAGTGTGACACAGAGTCAACAAGAATGTGAGAAAGATAGGGGCATTGTAATAGTATTCTAGACACTTGATTTTCCCAGGGATACAGCCTGTGATCTTCCCAAATCCCCAAATTCAAGAAATTAAATATGTTTCTGATATTTGTACAGGCTCTTAAATTTTATACAAATTCCTATAATACAAATTCCTAAATTCCTATAGGAAGAAATTATACATCTTCCTATAATCATCCTAACCCCAGAAGTTACCTTCCCCTCCAACTTACATGACCATTTACTGTCCTGCTTGATGACCATTATTCTCAGAGAAGCAAATGTTATTCTTTCCTAAAAGTACTGTGTGGGAAGGCCAGCTGACCAAGACGGGAGATGGGGAGAAGGTTTTGCAGAGGAGGTGACAGGTATGAGGAGTGTTGGGGTGAAGGGCAGTCGAGGTAGAGCGAGCGGTGGGTGTCCGGGCCTGGAGGCACCAGAGCACCACTGCCCTGTGCTGTGAGGGCGCGGGAGAGGTGGAGGTAGAAGGCCAGGGGTCAAAGTGGTAGGCTGGGACCAGATCGAGAAAATTTTGTCCTAAGGAGATTTTTTTTTTTTTATCCAGATGGCTGTGCAAAGCCACTGAAAGGTTTTGGGCATGAGAGCAATGAGGTTTGTTTGGTGTTTTCAGAAAAAAAAATTTTCCCCTCTGTATGCAAGGTAGAAAATGGGATTTTTTAAGTAAGTCTACAATTGCACGTGTCATGAGGAATCATTTATTCCATAACTGTAGTAGGACAAAGGGTGCTATAATTTGTTTTTCTGATTTTTTAAACCTTTTATTATAGATAACTGATTATTACATGTAGTTTTCTTAGAGATTTTTTTCTAGCATTAACTTTCTAAAAATTGTATCTTTCCATTGGAACCTAATGTAATTCTAATAGACACTTTTATAAATTTTCTAAAAAAAATGAGTTTGGATTACATTGGTTTATGAGAGTAACCACTAACTAAAGTGTTTGATGTAATACGTAATGACCTGATGTCAATTTGGGACTATTCGGTTGCTCATTTTGTGAGGGGGTTGTGTTCTGAAAGGCTCTTACATAGGGATTCTTTTTAAATTTAGTTCTATATTTTCATTATTGTGGTTGCTGGCTGGATTATCAGGCCAACTCCAAATCCAGGCCAAACTAGGTGCAAATCTAGGTCAACTCCAAAAGGTCATTTTTCTGTTATAACCTAAGTTTATCAATATGTCACTTCAGTAATACATAGCTACCATTTAAAACAATGCCCACTGGGAATATGTATTTGAGTTTCAATTTGGGGACAGAAGAAGTAGGTTTGATTCTGTTCATCATCATGGAAGAAATCCAGGTTGGCCAGAGAGGGAGAAAGGGGTGCCTTGAGGCAGTAACTTGACTGCTCTAACTTTCTACATCTATATAAAACTGGGGTAGCAGCCTTAATTGGTTCTGAATGAGGACCAAGGACACTGTGAGCAAGGTGCATAGAGTAACCCTTCTACTATCCACTCATTTGTGTAGCTTATTTTGTAAGTCTAGTGCTTTTTGCCATTTATGCATTTTAAGTTAAATAAATATTGGAAATAAGAACTCATCTAACATTCCTAAGTGTTGGACATGATCACAGATGATCAGGTTTCCCCTTTCCAGGACCCAGCCTTGTCTCCCACTTTCCCACTTTTATTCCTTAGTTCACGGAATTCTGTAATCCCTGAAGAAGCATAGTTACCTAATTCTCAGTCTGTTTGGCTGGTTGGTAATAGTTGAGAAGAGCACATCTTTGCTAGTTGTATCTGTGACCTTTCTACTTTCAAACTTGCCCACTTGTCTCTTGTAGGACTCCTAAAGGCAGTAAGAAGTAACCAACACTTTCCATCATCCTGGCACTTTCATACCAAGTTCTCCAAAGCATTGGCCACATTAGTCAGGAGGTCTTGTTTTTTTGACAGCAGGTTGAACTATGCAGTAAGTGCCAGCATACTGTTAGGAGATGAGCAGACTTTCACCACCCTGCCCCCTTCCTTTACTAGACTGTTTTTACACTGTAGGTTTTGTTACTTTATCGCCCTACTTCCTGGCACCAGTTTCTAAATTAGTTTGCTTTAAGATGTAAGACGCAGAAATTCAAGAAAGCAAAAAGGGAATTTATTGGTTCATATAGCTGGAAAGTGTTTCTCCGGCTCTGAATTCTGCTTCTTTCTGTTGGCAGACTGCCTTCCTATGATAGCAAAGATTGCCCAGGTAGCTCCAGGCATAGCATGAGGCCAACATGTAAGGTGGCATAATGACATACAAAGATATGCAGGTAAAAAGACATATCTCGATTTTGCAAGCATGTTCTTTTTCTGGGAAAAAGTAAAACACCTTTCCTCATAAAATTACTGATTCCTCAAGCTCAGGTGAGTCCCACTGGGGATGCTGCTTTGAGGTGTTGGCATCCCTGGAATAGAAGTCCAAAGAGACTCGGGGAAAGAGCACACTATCACTTGGTATCAAATCTCCATCATAATATGGGATAAAAAGTAATGAAAAATGTTTTTCAGGAACAATCAAATGGTCCTCATACCTAGGAGATCAGATAGTAAAAGACTTTCCATCTCCTTATGTCTCTATCTACCCCATTTTTATTCAGGAAGCATAGGACTTCTTCATTGATTCCATCAGGATTATTTATAAAGAGGAAGGTGAAGTTCCCCTCACTGCCTGTCCCCTGAAAATTGGGCTCTATTATCAAAAGCAGGGGAGAATTGAACAGGGTTCTGGGGCAGACAAATACAATGGATTCTACCACTAACTTAAATCACAATTCTTGTATTTACTAGTTGTGTGTCTTTGGGTAAGGTAATCTCTTAAATTTTAATTTGTTCATTGGGAAATGGAGAAATAGTAATAACACCTAAGTTACAGGGTTGTTGTTAAGATCAAATTAGGTAATGCATATAAAGTGCTAAGCACAGTGCTTGACATGTAGGCCTCCATATAATGGTAGTTCCTGCCACCACCACCATCACCATTATCATCATCATCATGATTAACAAGAGCAGCAGCAGCAGCAGCAGCCTCCACCCGTCATCTCCGTCCCCACCAGCCCCACTCCAGGTCCTCAACCCTCCACTGCTGCTTTGCAGAACTTTATCATATCATCCTCCATATTGCAGTCAGTGATGTTTCAAAATACCAGTTTGATCCTACTACCCCCTTGCTCAAAATAATTCATTCACTCTTCTCATTGGCAGAATAAAATTCAGTCTATATACTATATATACTGTTTTTATGGAGTGGCATTATACCATTTCCTGTGGATTTTGTGAAAAGAAGCATTTGGTTAACAGTACTCCTAATTCCAAATTCTGTATAATATTCAGATGTAAATAATATATTTAGATGGTAGCAGATAAAATAGTAATGGTTGCTGGATAATTCACATGAAGTTGCAGGCTTTTGGTAGCTGTTAGATGTTGGTTTTGTT